TAGTCTCTTGGAAAGAGGGTAAACCCATTCGGTCCTCGCAGGAACCTGCCAGGTAGTTACTGGATCCGCCCCACTCACACATGGGAAAACCAAGGCCAAGTCCCGAGCCCGGGGTCTCACAGCCTCTCTCAACTGCCCCTTGCTGCCATGAAGCTCCGGGGCCTGACCGAAGATGGGGATGGGAGCGGGAGGCAACAGGGGGACAAAACCCAAGCCACAACACCACAAGCAAAGCTCGGACGGGACTGCAGAGAATGATGAAAAAGTTACTCGAGAACCAGACCGCCTGGGTAGGAAACCCAGCCCCAGGCTCCCTAAGTAGCGGGTGTGGCCCTGGACAAGCTGCTTCACCTCTTTACGCCTTGGTTTCCTCATCCGCCAAACAGACATGATAACAGCCCCTCACTGCTTGCGCTGCTGGCGGGGTAAATAACTTAATATTTAATACAAGTGGGACACGATGAACTCTATATAATATTTCAAAATTCCTCGAAAAGTATTAGCTACAAACACAATGGGCAAACATGAATATTAGAGAAAAACACCAAAACAGACAACGTTAGGATCATCCAGGAGAAACGGCCCTGACGCCTACCTCCCAGGAGCGGCTACAAATGACCTGAAACGTTACAAGACACAAGCCACATGTTCCAAACACTACCACCAATGTCTGCATGCACACGGAAACACACAGAGTCCCCGACCATCTCCCTCACCCAGTGTCTGCAGACGCGCAAGGGCAGGGAAGGGGAAAAGGGGACCCCAGCATCCCCGCCCCTGCCCCCCGCACACACGCTGCCCGAGCGGACGCTTTCCATTTCCACTGGTCTCCAGTGAGCCCATGGGGCCATCAAGGCCCGTGGAGACTGGTCAGGAGGTCTGCACCACAGGGGTTCACCCAAGCGAGGACAAAAGATGTGAGGGAGGGAGGCCTCTAGACACAGGTGGAGCCAGGCCTCAGCTGCAGACCACGGGGAGGTGGGCTGCAGAGAAGAGAGAAAGGGCCTTTCCGGTTGAAGGTGACAGGAAGTGGCCCGCCTGAGGCCTGCTCCTGCAGAGAAGGCCTGCAGGGCCCTATTACAGGGGGGGCTGGGCTCTGAATGCAGGCACATGAAGGACAGCAGGAGGTCCCAACCATATGTAAGGAGCTCTAGTGACTGGGGGGCCCCTACTAGCGCTGTTCAGAGATAAGACACCAGAGCCCCTGAGACCATAGCGGCATCAACCTCAACCTCATACGTGCAATCGCAAGTTCTCCACCCAAGTTCACGGTCTGGCTTCCCAGGTTGCCAGCTCTGCGGCCTTGAACAAGGCATGTCATGTTTCAGAGCCTCTGCATTCTTGTCCATAAATTGTAGACAATAACGGCTTCCCCACCAAGAGGCGGTTTGGCAAGATTATCAGGTGAACACGTTGTAAGTGCTTCGAATGGTCCAGATCGAGGACTCACTAAGTCTTGGCTGGTATTAGTGTTGGTGTTATTGAGGCTGCTCTCACTACCATCGTCAGGACCGCGGGTGAACAGGTCTGTGAACAGGGTGGGGCACTGGGTGGGTAGGCTCTGATGGTGAAAAGAAGAGACGCCAAGTGGGGAGGAAGGGAGCTGAGTGGGTTCACAGGTTTAGACAAGGCCGGCAGGGAAAGGCACCAGGCAGAATCCGGGAAACGCAGTAGGCCTTGACCTCAGGTACGTCTCCCTTCTTGGCTGTGCAGTGTCCACCTCCCCCCACCCACCCCTGCCCTGTGAGCCCCGTGGGGGCGGGGCTTGCATCGGCTGGGGTCACTGCTGTAGTGCCAGTGGGGACTGGAGTCGCCAGCAGGGAGCAGGCGTCGTGAGGACTTGATGAATGGAGGCAAGGAAGCAGGAGGAATTAAGAGGAGCCCAACAGACCTCAAACCAGCTCCCGCTCCTTCTAGATGACCCTGGTCCACTGCAGCCGCGGCCTCGGCTCTTTGCTGGGACGTGCCTGGTTTTACCCACCCGCCACCCATTCCCCCGTCTTCGTTCTGGTCACGGCCCCGAACTTTTCCCCTGGGAACCACCTCCTCCACTGAGCCCACTGACCCCACCCCACTCCCAGGCACCGCAAGTGAGCGCACAACCCAGGCCAAATCAATCAAAGAGTCCCCTGTCCTGGCAACGGTGGCCATGTGCCCCAAGCTGGGCCAAGAACAGCCCTCAATGACTCATGCTGGAATTACTGTGGAGAGAGGCTCTCTTTGAACTGTCACTGCCGAGCTGGCAGACTGTCAGCCTGAAGCTGCTAAAGGCCACGTCTGCCACCCTGTGAGGCATTCGGCCCCCCGCCCCTCGAGAATGAAGCCAACACAGAGGAAATCAGAGCCTAAAGAGAAAGACCGAGTCCTGGAAACACCATATGGGGCCCTGGATCCAGCTATGCCTAAATCCCGCTCACTGGAATATTTCGTTTGTATGAGCCATAAAGTCTTTTTTGTTGGCTTAAGCCTACTTGAATTGGTGTTTTCATCACTCGCAATGAAGACAGTCCTAATAAATGCACGCTCTGAAAGGCGGGAGAAAATGAAAAACTGGCCCCAAGCCTGGTGAGGTGACAGGGTCTCCCTGTCCACTTCCATCTGTACCCTGAAAAGACTGGGCCAGAAAGCAGAGGCAGATCTGTTTATTCTCACACGCTAACCCCAATCAAAGAGTGGCACTGGCTGGAACTGGTGAGAAGGAGTCTCAAGCCCCACCCCCAGCCCAGGGAGCCCAGGCAGAATGCTGTGATTGATTAGCGATGTCTGCCGTGGCTGCAGTGAGGGGAGGCTCCCCCGAGCCCCTCTTCCGCTCTGTCATCCTCTCCTTCAGCTTGTGAAAACGGCAGGGGACCAGGACTTGAGGCTTGGAGAAGTTAAATTTAGCAAATGGAGACACCCCCTCCCCAAAACCATGCCCGGCTCCATCACTCCCCTGTCCTTGCCGGGAGCCTAATCCCAGCTGTGTCTCGGGGCCCCAGACCCTGCAGATACGGAAATGCTGCTTTTGACGGCTCAGAGCCCAAGTGTTCAATTTCCTCCCAGGGGCCCCACATGGGGCTTTGATTGTTGTGCCAAGAAGAAAGGGACAAGCAGTTGTGCACACACAGATGTGGTGGGCGGGGAGCCTGTGGCTGCGGGGTTGGGATGTGAAGGAGGAGAAGTGGACAGATGCCAGCTGGGACAGCTGGGGGAGAGGGTCGAGCCCCCGGGGAGGCTTCACGGATCGTCAGAGGTGACGGCTGCCGCCCGCAACGGCCCGGCCCGGGAGCCTCGCTGCCTCCACGGACGCCATCTGCTCCAGGCCACTCCCTTTACACCCAGAAAGACTGAGGCTCAGACGGAGGCTGGCCACGTGGACGCCTCCCCCATCGCAGAGGGAAGCGTGAGATCCCGGTCTGAGTTTTGCGAGGGTTTCCCCAACGTATCATCCGCTTATCCGCACAGCTACAGGGAGGGGGTGAGAGCCACTCACACCGCACGACCCTGCTACAAACCTGCAATTCTTAGGGGGAGATCTCTATGGGATCTGCCCCCACGGCATCCCTGCACACCGCCGCCCCCCATCACTGACTCTGCACCGGCCACACCAGCCTGCCTGCCTTCCCCTCCGTGGACACCTGGTCCAGGGCCTCTGCCCTCCCGAGGGTCTCCCTCTGGAACGTCCCACCCCCCACCCCCACCCCCAGCCAAGATCATCCCACTTTACCATGCTCCAGAGGTCTGCCCTGAGGCAGTCGGAGTTGCCAGATAAAACACGGGACACCCAGACGAGAAACACGGGACACCCAGATGAGTCTGAATTTCAGAGGAACAACAAATCATTTCTTACTGAAGTGTGTCCCAAACAGTGCATGAGACATACTCACACTAAAGAATTATCTTTCATTTGCCAATTTGCTCAGATGTCATGGGTGTTTTTGTTTGCTCCGTCTAGCAATCGTGTCCCTGACTTCCCAATTTCAAGCAACTTCGAGCACAGTCACTCCTCGCACATCTGTATTTTATATCCTTTGTAACCCGGGTCACCATCTGTACTGGCAGCCTCCGTTTCTGCAGCCTACGAGCCTCACGGTGGTGACAATAAATCTGTCTTATTTAGGGCAGCATTCCTCAGGGCCAAGTACAGCGCCTGGCACACAGTAGGTGTTTAGGATGCATTTCAGGAAACTTAGCGTGTAAGGTGATGAAAAACATAAGCCCTGGGGCCAAATTACAATGGCCCAAGTCCCGGCTCCAGCATTCCCTGGCCGTGTGAGCTTGAATCATGATCTACCCTCTCTGGGCCTCCGTTCCCCTGATGCACACTGTCGAAGGTTGTTGTGAAGTTTTAATCAATTAAAATACGTGAAGCACTGAGAACAGCACCCGGCACAAAGAGAACATCTGTGCTAGTTTGCCATCAACTCAGTAGGTGGTGGTCAGGTTTTAGGGTGCCCACCCCCTCCTCCCGCCAACCATTCTCTCACTACTCCAAGCAACTCGGGAATCCTGCAGGAAGAGACAGACTATTGTGAAAAGCCATCAGCCTCTCCGACCGGCAGCTGAGTGGGAACCCAAGACACCCTCGTGGGTCGGGGGGTGGCCAAGCTGGGACTCACACCCAGGTCTGCCTGGCCCAGGTCCACCCTCTTGGCACTGGCTACCCTGTTGGTCATTCTGCGGCAGAAGGGTCCTGCCAGCCCAGGAGGTCATGGGAACCCCAGGACATGGTCGTGCCACAAGGAGCCCCGAGGAAAAGGCAGCCGCACTCCACACGGCATCGAGGGGAGGGAGAGACAACTAAAAACAGCACTAATCTGCAGGGGCCGAACGGCTTCCCCTTGTTCCTGTGGGCAGAGGCTGGGCCTGCCACCTGCCTCTCCGTGTCCCAGACAGGCCCGCAGAGGAGGCTGGGGAAGAGGCCCACTCCCCCAAAGCTACACGCTCCAACAGGGGCTGGGGCACCGTACTCACGAATTTTAAAAAAACGTTCCCAAGTTCATGCTGAGACTGAGGCTCGGGATGTAAACAATACTCCAAGGCAGCCAAGAAATCCTTGTGAACTTCCAAGATGTCTTCGATGTTCGAGAACAGGATCTGGGAGGAAAAGCGAGGCCCGAGGACAGAGTCAATCAAGGCACAGAGGGAGAGCAAAATCAAGCATAAGAACATGCATAACCCCCAGTGCAGACGAGAATATGATGCAACAGGCACACTGATACACTGCAGCCAGTTTAGCCACTCACGAAAATAACTAAAACAAAATAATGCCAGCATCTATTCATGCCTAATCCTGTGCTACGAACTTCACATGCATTTACGGCATCGAATTTTCTGTGTAACTCCATGAGGCAGAAACTACCGTCATCCCCCATTTATAGATGAAGAACGGGGACCCAAAATAAATTAATATTCTCAAGGTCACGCAGTCCACTAAGCAGCAGAAGGGAGGTTCACACTCAGCATGCAGGGAACTAGATATTAAGACATTCATCACAATTTTCATCATGGTCGACAACGAGCATGGTGGATCAGAAGACTTGATTTTTAAAACGATGAGGGTCCTTCCATGCACCCATCACATGATGTGGCCAAAGAAAATACAATAGGGAAGGATGTTCAAAATATTCATAGGAGTGCCTGCGCGGCTCAGTCAGTTAAGCGTCCGGCTTCGGCTCAGGTCACGATCTCACAGTCCGTGAGTTCGAGCCCCGTGTCGGACTCTGTGCCGACAGCTCAGAGCCTGCTTCCGATTCTGTGTCTCCCTCTCTCTCTGCCCCTCCCCCCACCGCTCTCTCTCAAAAATAAACATTGAAAAAAATCTTTTTTCAATATGCTGTCTAAACTTGCACAAACAATACATAAGGCTACCTTTTCCCCTGAATGAATCTACAGAGTTTGAAATGCACATACAACCTGACCCAGCAATTCTACATTTTAGGATTTAACTGGCAATCAGTTGTCTCCGACCAGGGACAATTTGGCCCCCCAGGGGACATTTGCCAATGTCTAGGGACATTTGTGGTCATCACAAATTGTGGGGAAGGGATGTTACCAGCATCTCATAGGTAGAGGCTAGGGATGCTATTAAACACAATACACAGGAAAAGCCCATCACAGCAAAGAACTATCCGGCCCAAAGTGTTAATAATGCCAAGGTGAAGAGCCTGGTGGAGAGCCAAGGACACACTGCAGCCTTGTCGGCAATAGCAAAAATGTGGGGAAAAGGCAAATGGCCAAAGGGGGGACTCATCAGATAGCTGGATCAACTGGCCTGATTATAATTAAGTAAGTAAATTCTACATACTGAAATACTATGCAGTCTGTAGGAAGAATCTGCAGATCTGTATATATGGACATGCAATCCTG